AAAAAAAAAAAAAAGAATGATTCACACAATCCCTTAAGACTCTACCAGAATAGCAAGATAGCACCATATAAAATTTCTTTCTTCTGCCATGGCCCTTGGAATAAAACAAGCTAAATTACTCTTGGGCCACAAGAATAACTTTCACAAATACCTAAAATTACTTCTTTTATCCATATAAATTATAGAATTATTTAACAATTTACATTTGTTAGAATTTTAAATAAAAGACAACTGACATTTTGAGACTATAAATCCATGATTATTCAATTTATCTAGGTTACCTTTGTCTATTTTATAGACTATTGGGTACTCTTGTGCCTTTTCCATCCCAGAAATCACACAGTAAAACCTTATCTAATTGAGGTTTCTGGGAATTAGACTCTGAAATAAAGAATTGCATGGAGGAACTTTATGGAAATGAAAATTGATCTTCTAGGGAGATAAAAGGCCTTGTACAATCAGATCTTTAAACAATGACAAAGAACCTTCATTGGTATAACCTTTCCTTGTACCAGAAGATGTATGAAGGCAGTTTGCTTTTGCTGGGTAAAATTCCCAGAAATTTTAGCTAAAAAATTAAAAATTACTAATTCTCACAGTCACTTGGAGAATGGTGCCTCAGTCCTGCACACAAATCTGAGTGTTCAGCAGAGCATCTTGTCTTTGACACCCAATACACTGCTTAATCCACATGCACAATAGAATGTGGTTATAGTTCTCAGAGATGTCATAGCTCATTCTAAGTCCATAACTAATCCTTACCATCTCTCTTCCACCCTGTGAGTGAACTCTTCCTACGAACAGATAATTGTATCACAGCATCTTTGTGAGTCTGTGTCACTCAACTGAAGTGATACCCTAGATCTTTATTCCTAAAATAACCAACAACCTCGTCATAATAGCATTTTTAAGTTAGGGCTGATAAGTTTGGCATTTCATGGGAGGTTAACCAACCTGAATGAAAGATAGTTTCATGGTGCGCACTTCTCAAAAATCAATCAAATTATATTGTATATTATAGCACAGAAGTCATAGATTATCATGAAAAGCCTCAGTGGACCACATAAGTGTCTAACTGATTAAATTATTCACTAATTACCTGAAATTGTCAACTGTTGAAACTATTGACAAGATTCAGTTTTTATTCATGAAGCATCTCTATTGTAAAAACTTTTCACAGTTTCAACAGCAGAAGAATATGAAGTGAACAGGGTTGGGGAGGGGGGTTGAGATCTTTGGAGATTGACTTGGTTTACTCACTATTGATTTCATAATAAAATATCTGTGCTTTCTTGATGTTTAAAATACCACCAGTTTTTATGGGAAGCACCCAGTTCCAGGAAACCACAGATAGGCTTATGGTTAACACCTCACACTTACCTGCTTACATAAATCAACTCAACCATTCAACCAGGATTAATCTTTATATTCTGCCAAGTCTCTGTTGAAGTCAAGTACAAACTCTAAACCCACTTCCAATGGACACAGGTACATATTTTTCTGAAACAAGTCACATCTTTACTTCGGGTATTTTATATCACCCTCCTGAGGTCAATAGCTCTGAATAAAAGCATTCAGTGAATTCACGTCAGATGAAATGAACCTATGCCACAAATACATTCTCCCCTCTCTCTCCATTATGTAACACTGTTTCTACCTCCTGACATTATAAGCACAAGTTATTCCTGCAAATGTACTGACAACTCTCTTTACTTACAATTTGCTTGGTATGAGATATCAAGATGGCATTCCTTATTCCATAAATAATGAAGTAACAAAAAAAATACTTTATCAACAACCAAATGGAAAAATACATAAAACTTTCTTTCAGACTTTAGAAAAATGAAAAAAAAATCAAGAAACTCTCTGTGCATTTTGTAGCTGCAAATGTTTTTATCTCCTCAGATTAGGAGATGAGATGAGAGCTGTACCAAAGATTTACTAATACATGGCTTGGGCAGAGCGCAGAACATTTCTGTTCAACTATCCCTAGGCATAGGCCTGGAAGCTTATAGCTTCTATACAATCTAATCATGAAGAAGAAATTATGGTAATAAACAATAAGATAATAAATAAAAATGAGATATGAATCAAATAAAACAGTCTAAAAGATACTGTGGAGTATATGTGCCATCCATCACATTGTTCAAAGTTAAATTGAGCAGTAATGATGTAAATTTGAAATAATAAAATTACTGTTCAAATTGATGTTTCTTGGTTATACTAAATATGTAAAAATATTTTCTCTTTTCTAACTTACTATTGTTGAATATTCCCAATTAATTTTTAATTAATTTGTTTATTTATTAAAATTTATTCACTTTGTATCTCAGTTGTAGCCTCCTCCCTATTCCCCACCCAATCCCACCCTTCCTCCCTGTTCTCCTCCTATGCCCCTTCCCTAGTCCACTGATAGGGGAGGTCCTCTTCCCCTTTCATCTGACCCTAGCGCATCAGGTCTCATCAGGACTGGCTGCATTGTCTTCCTCTATGGCCTGGTAAGGCTACTTCCCTCTCAGGGGAGGTGACCAAACAGCCAGCCACTGAGTTCTTGTCAGAGACAGTCCCTGTTCCCCTTACTAGGATACCCACTGGAAGACTGAGCTACCATGAGCTACATCTGTGCAGGGGTTCTAGGTCATCTCCATGCATGGGGTTAAAATATCAGTCTCAGAAAAGACCCCTGTGCCCAGATTTTTTGGTTCTGTTGCTTTCCTTGTAGGGCTCTTGTCCCCTCCAGGTCTTTCATCTCCCCCTTTGATCATAGGATTCCCTGAACTCTGCCCAAAGTTTGGCTATGAATCTCAGCATCTGCTTTGATACCCTTCTGGGTAGAGTCTTTCAGAGTCCTTCTGTGGCGACTCCAATCCTGTTCCCTGTTTTCACCCTCTTCCAATGTCTATCCCATTTGCCTTTCTGAACGAAGATTGATCATCTTACCCAGGGTCCTCCTTTTTGCTTAGCTTCTTTAGTTGTACATATTTTAGTATGTTTATCCTATTTTATATGTCTAATATCCACTTTATAAGTGAGTATATACCTATTCATTTTATTCTACATGTGTTTTTCCTGTATGTATTATCTTGTTCTGATAGCATTGGTCTATCATATACATGTCTCAGGAAACATGAATAGTTTTAATCTTTATATTTTAATTAGCCTATAAAGCAACAGGTTTAATATCACTCATGCTTAGTTTTGGTTGATTTCCCCATGTCCAGTTTTCATTCCATCTTCCTCACACCATTCCAGTGTTCAATTCTCCCCTATATTTCTATTTTTCCCTTCCATTTTCATATCAAATGTGTTCAATCCTTCACTTAAACCATTGTTTTTCTTTCATCTCACATTTCTTTCTTTTTTTTTTTTTTTTAGTTTCTGAACTCTACCCACAGGTTTCTACCTCAATGCACATAATAATAATTAGAAGTCAGGATCTGCATAAGAGAATGGGATTTGTCTGTCTAAGCTAGGGTTATTTCACTTAATAAAGTATTTTACAGGTGTACCATTTCCCTACAAATTTCAGTTTCAGTTTTTGTTATGGCTGAATAAAACTCTTATGTGTGTATAAATCACATTCCCATTATCCATTGATGTGTTGGTGGGTATCTAGGCTGACTCAATCCCACTGGTGTTGTGAAAAGAGCAATGATAAGCATGAATTAGCAAGTATCTCTGTAGCAGGATATAAAGCTCTAGAATGCTATAGTTTAATGTCCTTAGTTATCAGGGAAATGCAAATAAAAACAACCCTGACATTTCACCTTAAATCCATCAGAATGGGTAAGATCAAAAACTCAAGTGACAACACATGGTAACAAGGATGTGGAATAAGAGCGATGCTCCTCTATTACTGGTGGGGGTACAAACTTGTATAAACATTGTGGAGATAAATCTGTCAGTCTCTCAGAGAATTGGGAATAGTTCTACCGCAAGACCCAGCCATACCACTCCTGGGCATATATCCAAAAGATGCTCCACCACACCACAAGAACACTTGCTGAACTATGTTCATAGCCGCTTTATTCTTACTAGCCAAAAACTAGAAACAACCTAGATGCTCCTTAAGAATGGAAAATACCAAAAGAAAATATGAAGAAAATGTAGTACGTTTATACAATGGAATACTACTCCGCTGTTTAAAACAAGGATGTCACGGAATTCACTGGTAAATGGATGGAAGTAGAAAATATCATGAGTGAGGTAAGCCAGACTCAGAAATTCACAGTTTTTATGTTCTCACTTATAAGTGGAGCCATAAAATATAGGATAACAAGGCTGCAATCTACAGACTCAAAGATTCCAAGTAACAAGAAGGGCCCACGGAAAGATGCTTAAATCTCAATCAGAAGGGGGAATAAAATAGACATCTTAAGTAGTTGGAAGGAAGGAGGTGAGTGGGAGAGAGGTAGGCAGGAGACTAGGGGTAGGGATGCATTGGGGGGGACTGAGAGAGAGAATAGAAATCAGTGGGGGCGGTTGCATCTCTGTGAAGGGGGAGGCTTCTGGGTATCTATGGGGCTGACTCTAGCTAAGACTTCTAACAGCAGGATATAATGGAGACTGAAGAGGCCACCTCCTGTAGCCAGGCTTGACTTCCATTGGAATAAGGGGGACACCAACTCATCCACAAAATCTTTGACCCAAAATTTGTCTTTTCTACAAGTAGAACAGGGATAAAGATGGAGCAGAGATCAAGGAAATGGCCAAGCAATGACTTGTCCAACTTAAGACCCACATGGGAGAGAGCCAACCCCTGACACTATAAATGAAGGAGCCTAGCATAAGTATCTTCTGAGAGGCCTCATCCAGCTGCTTATAGAAACATGTACAGAAACCCACAGCCAAACAATAGACAAAGCTAGGGGAGTCTTGTGGAAGAGTGGGAAGAAGGATAGAGGGAGCCAGTGGGATGAAGGACACCACAAGAAGACCTACAGAGTAAACTAACCTGGAGATATGGGGCTCACAGAGACTTCACCAACCAAAAAGCAAGCATGTGTAGGTTCCCTACACAAATGTAGCGCATAAGCAGCTTGTTCTTCTTGTGGGTCTCCTAACAATTCGAGTGGGGGCTGTCTCTTACTCTGTTGCCTGACTTTGGATCATTTTCACATACTGGACTACCTTGTCTGGCCTCAATGGTTGAAGATGTGCCTCATTCTGGTATAACTTGATATCCCAGTGTGGGTTGGTATCTAAAGGGCCTTAATTTCTCTGAGAAGGGGACAGGGGAGTAAGGAGGTGAGGTTGGGACTGGGATGAAATGAGGGAGGGGCTGCTACCATGCTGTAAAGTGAATATACTAATAATAACAGAAATAAAAGATAATGAAGGAGTTGCTTTTCTTTGCAGAAGGCTGATACAGGACTGCTAATTTGTTTTTTTGTTTTGTTTTGTTTTTTGACCACTGGGATTTTGTGTGTGCGTGTCTTTGTTTTTGTTTTTAATTTTTTTCTTTTTTTTAATTTTTTATTAATTACACTTTATTCATTTTGTATCCCCCCATAAGCCCCTCCCTCCTCCCCGCCCAATCCCACCCTCCCTCCCCTTTCTGCATGCATGTCACTCCCCAAGTCCACTGATAGGGGAGGTTCTCCTCTTCTTTCTGATCTTAGTCTATCAGTTCTCATCAAAACTGGCTGCATTGTCCTCTACTGTGCAGCCTGGTAAGGCTGCTCCCCCCTCAGGGGGAGGTGATCAAAGAGCAGGCCAATCAGATTATGTCAGAGGCAGTCCCTCTTCCCATTACTATGTAACCCACTTGGACACTGAACTGCCATGGGCTACACCTGTGCAGGGGTTCCAGGTCATCTCCAAGAATAGTCCTTGGTTGGAGTATGAGTCTCTGGGAAGTTCCCTATGTTCAAATTATCTTGTTCTGTTGCTCTCCTTGTGGAGTTCCTGTCCCCTCCAGCTCTTACTATTTCCCACTTCTTACATAAAATTCCATTCACTCTGCCCATCAGTTGGCCATCAGGCTCAGCATCTGCTTTGACAGTCTATACTGCAGAGGCTTTCAGAGGCCCTCTGTGGCAGGTTTCAAGGTTGTTTCCTGTTTTCTTCTGGCTTTCAGAGGCTCTCTGTAGCAGGTTCCGAGGTTGTTTTCTATTTTCTTTTTCTTCTGATGTCCATCCTCTTTGCCTTTCAGGATGGGGATTGAACATTTTAGTTAGGGTCCTCTCTTTTGCTTAGTTTGTTTAGATGTACAGAGTTTAGTGGGTTAATTTATATTGTATGTTTATATGAGTGAGTATATACCATGCATGTCTTTTTGCTTCTGGGACAACTCACTCAGGATGATCCTTTCCAGGTCCCACCATTTACCTGCAAACTTCATGATTTCCTTATTTTTCATTGCTAAGTAATACTCCATTGTATAGATGTACCACAGTTTCTGCATCCATTCTTCAGTTGAGGGGCATCTGGGTTGTTTCCAGCTTCTGACTATTACAAATAAAGCTGCTACAAACATGGTTGAGCAAATGTCCTTTTTGTGTACTTGCGCCTCTTTTGGGTATATGCCTAGGAGTGGTATGGCTGGATCTTGAGGAAGCGCTATTCCTAGTTGTCTGAGAAAGCGCCAAATTGATTTCCAGAGTGGTTGTACCAGTTTACATTCCCACCAGCAGTGGAGAAGGGTTCCCCTTTCTCCACAACCTCTCCAGCATGTGTAGTCCCTTGAGTTTTTCATCTTGGACATTTTGATGGGTGTAAGGTGAAATCTCAGGGTTGTTTTGATTTGCATTTCCCTAATGGCTAATGAGGTTGAGCATTTCTTTAAGTGCTTCTCTGCCATTCGATATTCCTCTGCAGAGAATTCTCTCTTTAGCTCTGTTCCCCATTTTTTAAGTGGATTACTTGGTTTGTTACTTTTCAGCTTGTTTAGTTCTTTACATATATTGGATCTGAGTCCTCTGTCAGATAAAGGGTTGGTGATGATTCTTTCCCAATCTGTAGGCAGTCGCTTTGTTTTGATGATGGTGTCCTTTGCTTTACAGAAGCTTTTCAATTTCATGAGGTCCCATTTATTGATTGTTGCTCTTAGAGACTGTGCTGTTGGTGTTCTGTTCAGGAAGTTTTCTCCTGTACCAATGAGTTCTAGGGTATTCCCCACTTTTTTTTTCTAGCCGATTTAATGTGTCTGGTTTTATGTTGAGGTCTTTGATCCACTTGGACTTCAGTTTTGTGCAGGGTGATAAGTATGGATCTAGTTTCATTTTTCTACATGTAGACATCCAGTTGAACCAGCACCATTTGTTGAAGATGCTATCTTTTTTCCATTGTATGGTTTTGGCATCTTTGTCAAAAATCAGGTGTCCGTAAGTGTGTGGGTTTATTTCTGGGTCTTCTGTTCGATTCCATTGATCCACCATTCTGTTTCTATGCCAGTACCATGCAGTTTTTATAACTGTTGCTCTATAGTACAGCTTGAGATCAGGGATGGAGATACCTCCAGAAGATCTTTTATTGTAGAGGATTGTTTTAGCAATTCTCGGTTTCTTGTTATTCCATACGAAGTTGAGAATTTTTCTTTCCAGGTCTGTAAAGAATTGTGTTGGCAATTTGATGGGAATTGCATTAAATCTGTAGATTGCTTTTGGTAAGATGGCCATTTTTACTATGTTAATCCTGCCAAGCCATGAGCATGGGAGATCTTTCCATCTTCTCATATCTTCCTCTAATTCTTTCTTCAGAGACTTGAAATTTTTTTCATACAAGTCTTTGACTTGCTTGGTTAGGGTTACACCAAGGTACTTCATGTCATTTGTGGCTATTGTGAAGGGTGTTGTTTCTCTAATTTCTTTCTCAGCCCTTTTGTCTTTTGTATACAGGAGTGCCACTGATTTTTTTGAGTTAATTTTGTATCCGGCCACTTTGCTGAAGGTGTTTATCAGCTGTAGGAGTTCCCTGGTAGAGTTTTTGGGGTCACTCATATATACTATCATATCATCTGCAAATAGTGATAATTTGACTTCTTCCTTTCCCATCTGTATCCCCTTGATCTCCTTCGACTGTCTTATTGCTCTAGCAAGGACTTCCAGCACTATGTTGAAGAGATATGGAGACAGTGGGCAGCCTTGTCTTGTCCCTGATTTTAGTGGGATTGCTTTAAGTTTCTCTCCGTTCAGTTTGAGGTTGGCTATAGGCTTGCTGTATATCGCCTTTACTATGTTTAGATATGTGCCTTGTATCCCTGATCTCTCCAATACTTTAAACATGAATGGATGTTGGATTTTGTCAAATGCTTTTTCAGCATCTAGGGAGATTATCATGTGGTTTTTTTCTTTCAGTTTGTTAATATGGTGGATCACATTGATGGATTTCCGTATATTGAACCACCCCTGCATACCTGGGATGAAGCCTACTTGGTCATAGTGGATAATATCTTTGATGTGTTCTTGGATCCGGTTTGCAAGTATTTTGTTAAGTATTTTTGCATCAATGTTCATAAGGGAGATTGGCCTGAAATTCTCTTTCTTTGTTGAGTCTTTGTGAGGTTTAGGTACCAAGGTGATTGTGGCTTCATAGAATGAGTTTGGTAATGTCCCTTCTGTTTCTATTTTGTGGAATAGTTTGAAGAGAATTGGAGTTAGCTCTTCTTTGAAGGTCTGGTAGAATTCTGCGCTGAAGCCATCTGGTCCTGGGCTTTTTTTGGATGGGAGACTTTTGATGACTGCTTCTATTTCTTTGGGGGATATAGGACTATTTAATTGATTTACCTGGTCCTGATTCAGCTTTGGTGAGTCAAATTGATCAAGAAAATTGTCCATTTCATTTAGATTTTCAAATTTTGTGGCATATAGACTTTTGAAGTAAGTCCTAATGATTGTTTGGATTTCCTCAGTGTCTGTAGTTATGTCCCCCTTTTCATTTCTGATTTTGTTGATTTGGGTGGTGTCTCTCTGCCTTTTAGTTAGCTTGGCTAAGGGTTTGTCGATCTTGTTGATTTTCTCAAAGAACCAGCTCTTGGTTTCATTGATTCTTTGAATTGTTTTATTTGTTTCTAATTGATTGATTTCAGCCCTGAGTTTTATTATTTCCAGCCGTCTACTCCTTTTTGGTGTGTCTGCTTCTTCTTTTTCTAGGGTTTTTAAGTGGGCCATTAA